TCTACAAAGATTTCTGGAAAACGGACCCAAAAAATTTATTCGACCAGGTTTGAAACTTGGTGGCTTTTGTAGAGCTACTCGAATAGTATCTAACCTAATAATATCTCGAGAAGTTCAGATGTAGTTTGCGTGGGGTCAACTCTCAAAGTTCGAAAGTAGGTCTCGGGAGCCAGGATATTGGAGCTAAGTGGTAAATATTTTCGAGCTTGTTCTTGTAGTATAGAAACAAGGGTCCGTAGTGGTATTCCCGTTTCCTTCTTACTGAGATCTGATCGCGAACCCGATTTTTTCCCGTGTAACGTAAAAATGCTGATCTTGGCAAAATAAAATCGCGATCTTATAATTGTAATCGTGTTCTTGATTAAGTTCATTATGCGATTCCCGTTTCATTTGCGTTTTAAGAGAGTGACGAGATCGCGGCAGCATTATAGCAAGATCGTGTCTAATTCGAGATAAGATCTTGAGGAGATTTTTCTTTTATCCACCGTTGAGGAAAATTTTTTATTATTATATCATTCTGTGCCTTAAACTATCAAAGTACAAAATCAATCCTTGCACGAAACTAAGATCAAACTGACTTCATATTTTCCTCTATCTCAGTCTGTAACGATGTAATGTTCTTTTATTTCGTCCATCCGTTGATAGAAGGAGAAAAACAGACAGACAGTGTGCGTATATTATTGTCCACTGCGTTTATTCTTTGTTCTCTTTTAACGTATATAATAGATATACAATACAAGTCAGTTAGTCATTGCCTATTAACGCAGTGCAACGAGTGTTTTTCTGCCAGTGTTTTTTGGGGGTTTTGTTGTAGTTAATGGAAATAGACTAACTATCTGACTATTATCAGATAGTTACTGATGATAATTGCTGTGAATTTTCGAGAGAAGAAGAGCATTCGAAGAGGAAAATTAACTTTTTTGTGTCAAAGTTGAACTATTTTCTTCCTGACAGTTTTAGAATTGAAAGAAAATATTCTTTCTCGGACAATGCACCACATCTAAAGTCTTCTCCCATGTGTAGGTTCAGTTAAATATGTTGACTGTGCAGAATGTTTTCTGCACATACGGCAATACGTTACATTGGCACAACTTACAGATGAAACACAAAGACAGCTCCTCTCACTTCTATGCTGAGATTCAATGCCAGTAACGTTTCGAATTAGAACTGAAAAATACACCGATGAAGAACCTAAAGATAAATCTGAGATGAAACTTCTCACCCGCAAAACTAATATCTCACTTTAGATGAGCAAATTAATAATAGTTCAACTTTGTGACATTGAAACGAAATGGAGTTTATAACTCAAAACAAAGAAAATAAACTGCTGTGTACTCTGGAGATGGTGTTCTAGGAGAGAATCTCTAATTACTTCATGTTCTCGAAGAAAATACCGAGTAAAACATGATGAAATTTGATGAAAACGAGATTAAACCATCGAAAGAATGTAGTGACAATCCGATAAGTGGCAGGAAACCTTGCTCAGCCTTCCTGCAATCTGGTTCTAATCACATCGGGATCTTGGTACGCTCTTGTCCGGATCCCGTTTTAATCCTGCCGCAACCTTTGCAGGATTTCAGCGCGATCCCGTCAGAAGATTTTCCGGTCAAGATTGTTAAATTTTCGTTACACAGGAAAAATAGCAAGGTTAGGTACGATCGTATTATCGATCCCGCGTTAAGTTTCAAATTTCTTGTCAAAATCGCGGCAAGATGAGGCTGTATTCTTGCCGCAAAATGAAGCCGGAATGCTACTAGGGATCAGGCGCTTTTCTTTGGCTACAAATTTTGTAGGATTTCATTTTGTTTTAGATGCGCTGTGACCGTTGATCTAAAACAATGGGCCGCCCAAACGAAAATCATTTTATACGTTGTAGATAATTCCGTCTCTGTTGGTTATATGTTTTTTCAAAATGAATATTTTTTTATTCTTTGGTAGTGGAAATCTCGAGGTTTCAGCCTACTTGCATCTGTGTAGGACATTTTTTGGCGTAGCTCACGGGTAGACTATGGCCTTCGAACTCTTAAGCGTCCACTTTCAGAAAAATGGTTCGGCTATCTATGGTATAGCCCTGACTAACTCACGCAATAGGTCCATTGTTTCTGTCCGTACTAAAGTAACTTAATACAATAATTCTATAAAAGTTAGATTTATGATGTTTATATTTTGAACTGGAAAGTAAAGTATAAATTACGGTTTGAAGCATAAGTAATCAAAGGAAGGTACCCTAGCCAAAAGTATGTGCAAGAATAAGTATCATACGTATACAAACATATGTGTGTAAAATGCCGAAACTTTGCTCAGACGAAGACTTTTTCACAATTCTCTGAAGAAAGTTTCGGCTGGATTCGGTTCGGTTACAGAAAAACACGAACTGATCCGATCTCTGCAACTTATTGTCGAAGCAGATCGGTGTTCGGAATAACTTTTCCAGGAAGTGACTATGAACTTGTGTATACGTTTAGTAGCTCTGCGGAACACATATAGTCAGACTTCGCCAGCTTCCAATTATGTATAAAGTGGGCAGACCTGTCCAGAAGTATCCTGAAAAGAGTAATTAAATTCTCTTATATTATGTTATAAGTTATATACAAATATGTAACTCGTAAATTAGATACCATTGCGATCGTTGCGCAGCTTATTCTGTGATGGTTACGGTTGTACTGCCGCTCGATTAGTGATGATGTGTAACTAAATTGATCATGTCCAATTGAAAACTTTTGATAAAACTAAAAATTGATAGATCGAAAATAATTAAATCAATTTTTAAAACTAAATAAATTAAAATTTAACTAAAATTAAACTAAAATTGAGAAAATTTTATTAACTAGAGAGAAAGTTACTTCTTCTCAAAGCACTATATAATAGCTTGTTGTGAGTTTTTGTTTGTTATGGAGAAAAAATGAATAAAAAAAGTTATTTTATTCATACTTGCTCGTTTTCTTTTTTCTTTTTTCTTTTTCTTTCAATGTTTAGAAACTTAGGACGAGAATCAATAGTCATGTTTACACTATTTATTTCTGTTCGTTTGTATCTTTAATAATGATGATGACATTATTGCATGAAAAAATGGGAAAGGAAACAATATCAGGTTTTTTTCGGATTTTTACTTGAATATATGTTGTTTTCTTTTCCCATTTTTTCATGCAATAATTTCATCATCATTATTAAAGATACAAACGAACAGAAATAAATAGTGTAAACATGACTATTGATTCTCGTCCTAAGTTTCTAAACATTGAAAGGAAAAGGAAAAAGAAAATGAGCAGTATGAAATAAAATAACTTTTTTTATTCGGTTCTTCTCGATAACAGAAAAAAAACCCACAACAACTCGTACAAGCTGTTATAAATTGCTTTGAGAAGAAGTAACTTTCTCTATAGCATAATCAAGCAAGATGAGCACGTTTTTCTCTTTCAAAACGTCTTTATACTATAAGGCGCTATATGTATTATGATGCTTTAAAAACCACGCGTACTTTTTCAAATTGCTGCTCGGAAATATACAATGCTTCTTGAATAAGTTTTTAGTTCGATAGACAGTATGTATTTTTGTTGAGAATTTTGTTTTTATGTCCACAGGCATTATGCAACCGTTTGGGGATTTTTTTAGGCACTGTTTTTTTTGGAAATGTGGGCCTCGTGATGTAGAAAAGTACGCTACATAGAAAACTTCCGAAAACGGGAGGATAGTCTATGAATATTGCAGATTGACAACTGCACGGTTTGTTTTCAAACATAAGTTTATATTCGACGCCATCAAATTTTGCGCAAGTAGAAATAGCCGTTTTTGGATTGAGAAACGTTTCGTACATTTATAAGAGTTGATTGTCTGATGCCATCTGTTCTTGAGACGAAATAGAATTCTCTCTCTCTTTTCCTTGTGTTCTTCAAGTCTGTTTGTTCTTTGTGGGTAAACGTAGAATGACCTTAAAGTGCTGATAAGAGAATTGTAGTAGAAGAGAGAAAAAGAAGATTTGATATTTGAAAAGAGAAAAAATACCGACGAGTTATAATCAGTTGATTACCGAACCGAGCAAGTTGGGTTATTCACAACACGCGGAAAGAACAAATGATAATTTGGCCTATAGACTATTTGTTGCTCTGTAATAAAAATTTGCCGAAGGTATCAGAGATCATCGTAGGACAGCGCAGATCGAATTCGTCCTATCCGATCCAGCAGGATACTTTTAATTTCGGTGTTTTGTGGAGTTCGGACGGTTGATCGGATTCGGAGACCGGAATATGCTCAATTCTTTCGCTTCCAGATATCTGAATCCTCGAGGATCCGGAGATTCAATCCGAAATCCGGAACCAGTCGGATTCGTTAATTTCCGATCACCGCAAATAGACAGATACTGTGGTGCGCACTTCTTTTAGTTTTTTTTTCTTTCTTTTCTGTGCGCATAATATATTCACCGTTTTGTTTCGCGATAGCAGTACTTTAAATACGATATTACAGAAAATGAAAACCAAGAAAATTTCTTTTCAATTTCTGAGCAGTGCGAGTCATCTGACTCATCGCTCGCACTGATCAACAGACGTGTTGTGCATTTCACAGCTAATGGGTCCTTACACTCTCTCGAACGAGCTTTCAGCACTCTCTTTTGAACTTTTCAAACTTCGTTTTAAGTATTTGAGATCGAACGACGAAGATAACAGCGGTTGCTCAGTTCTGTTTTCTTTCTTTGGCGTACTGCATGCGACGTGGTTAAAAAAAAGGATCCTGTTACGCACAAGAAACACATTCAGTATTTTCGGTGAGTTTCTTGAAGATAAAGCCTTCTACATTAACCAGAAAAACTTCCTTTTGTGCTGCAGAGCGCTCTGCTCAGGCAGAGAGGGCAGTGCCAAAACCTTTTATGAATAATTTTCTCACAGGATACAGGATAGGGCAAGGCGAAAAGCTTTGCCCTGCGATGGTCTCTGGTAGGTATCTAAAATTCTTATATTTTTATCCGTTTTAGATAATCATTCAAAATAAATGCAATGACTGAACCGATGAAACCATCAGGTCGTGGGCGCGGACATGGTCGAGAGCAAGTTTTCTCTTCGATCGCTCCTCCATCTCCTTCCATATCAAGTACATCATTAACACACGTCGTAACGACAAGTGGAAAATCTGATACATTGTCTGACGAAGGTATCGCATCGTCGATAGTAACATTGAATATTCCGCAACCTACTACGGCAATAAAAAGCACAGTACCACATGGACGAGGACAAGTTAAACGAGATGTACCGCCGAGTGCGCCAGAAATATCAATAGCTGTTCGCCAATCACAGATAACGGCTATCGACGATGACATATTAGATACTTCGAAAAGAGCAGTAACAACAACTAAGTATGAATTTCAAATTTGTAAACTTCTGTTTCGGCAAGTGCCATAAACTATTACTGCTTATTGTAAAAGTAACCTTCGAGTCGTCTAGAATTACTGATATGAATAAATAAAGTTTAGTAAGGCACACAACAAAAGTGAGTATGCGCGGGAAGAGTAGGCATGCACCAATCCCAATCATTATTGAAGTTATTTTACAATATTATTGAGTACCGAATATATTGGGACCAATAATATTGGTCACCCATAATATTCTACAATAATATTGGGTTTCACAATACACTGAATTCCTACTTTTAACCTGAATATCATTTATATTCATAAAAACGTGAGGGTGCATATCGCCATCGAGCTATATATCCCAACTGGGATGTAAAAATGTGTCGCGATCGGGATTAGGCATGTACTGATTAATAATCGATATTAGGGCATTCAGCAAAGTCGTTCTGCATCAGTTTTATAAAAATGTACATAGAGCTGCCGGATAGCTTATTTTGTAGAAAAATGTTTGTTCTATCAAACTAAAGCTCAGAAAGCCATTTTAGTATTATGCGTGACAGAAATATAAGCATCCAATACTGAGAAAAACTGCGACCAGATAATCGACTGTCGATTATTTTTCTGCGATTTTAGTGCGTTTTCGATTTATCATATTTCCTCTATATATATAACCTTAAAGTGTTTCTAGCACTTCAATTGGTAGAGCCAACATTTTTCTACAAAATAAGTGATTCGTCAACATCGATTATTAATCGGTGCGTGCCTGATTGGATTGTGTTTGGGTTCAAAACGGGATATAGAGCATACGTCTGTACTGTAAAAGTAGGCTGAACTCAAGCGACCCAATATCCAATAATATTGTGAAAACCCAATATATTGCGTAACCAATATTATCGGGACCCAATACATTGTATTGGTGCGTGCCTAGGGAAGAGCTTTCGAAATTTCTGTTTTCTACTGTTTGGATTTTGCTGAATTTTCTTTTTTTTGTATGTTTATCGTATTTCGTTTCATTGTTCAGGCAGCCACAAATAACGACAGTCGACGACACATCAATCGCTACTTCTCGCTACTTCTGCAACATGTTTCAACCGGTGAAACCATCAGGTTGTGGGCGCGGACATGGTCGAGAGCAAGTTTTCTCTTCGATCGCTCCTCCATCTCCTTCCATATCAAGTACATCATTAACACACGTCGCAACCACAAGTGGAAAACCTGACACATTGTCTGACGAAGGTATCGCATCGTCGATAGTAACATTGAATATTCCGCAACCTACTACGGCAATAAAAAGCACAGTACCACATGGACGAGGACAAGTTAAACGAGATGTACCTTATTGTAAAAGTAACCTTCGCGTTTTCTGTTTGTTTATCGTATTTCGTTTCATTGTTCAGGCAGCCACAAATAACGACAGTCGACGACACATCAATCGCTACTTCTCAAATAACAACGACAACAATCTCATCAGTCACATCTAAGAAATCTGGTCGTTCTTGTTTTATTACTGACGATAAACGTTCAAAATGGATAGTATCAGAATTAACTGAACAGCAGTTTTTGACAACTGAGCGCCCATTAAAACCCAAAACACTGGGTGAATTAGGTCTGATGATACAAGTGATGGTCAATTGTTATCCAGTAACATGGTATCCAAAAGAAGGCATCGTATATCAGTATCATGTTGACATTAAAAGTGCAAGAGATGTTGAACTGCAAAGATCGAGAAGACGGTACGAACTCGACTTGTATATATTAATCGAAACTTTAGCTCAAGAAACATTTTTTGTTTTTTTTTGTTTTGACAGCGCAATCTACGATAGTTGGAAAAGACAGATGCGACATAGCATAGACATTCACCGAATCATATTCGATGGTAACAGCATTATTTTTTCATTAGATCGATTGAAAGAAATCGATAAGCGCGTAAGTTAATTTAAACGCTCTAGAAGGAAAAATGGATGATTAATTGTATTTAAACTTTGATACGAACTTTGTATTCTGTTTATCTCGAATTAAATACTTATTCCCTTTTTCTTAGCCAATGAACTTTGATATATCTGCAACTAATCGTTATGGTAAACAGGAAATATTCAAATTTATAATTCGTTTAACGGATAAATCAATTGATTTTGCCAAATTAGTGTTACCGGAGGACTTTGACAGTCTTGAATGCTTAAAACAAGTATTATCTTCCGTACTACATGAACAATGTTCTTCAACAGCCAATTTTGTTAATAAACGTGTATTTTATTCAATTACAGATAATGGAAATGCTTCTAATCTTGGTGAAGGCAAAGCATTATGGTCTGGATTTTATTCATGTCTAATGTTTTCAAAAGGACGTTATAAGCTATTAGTGAATTTAGATGTTAGTCACTCGTGCTTTTTGAAGAAACAACCATTTCATAAGTTTCTATGTGAAGTGATGGCGAATAGTCCATGTGGATTCTACTATACTAAAGGCAAACGAAATGAAAGAGAGAAAGTGACAATAGAAGATTGCGTATACTATTTAGATCCAATAAATAATCAAGCATATTATGATGATGAACTCAAATTTCTTGTTAAACATTGTAAAGGTAGACAGTTTCGTACTCTGTCTGATTACTTTTGATTATGAGTTTTTGATATTGTTTCTATAGACATGAAGGTTCGAGCGAATTACGGAAGTACAATTACTTATACCATCGATTCACTTGGACAATCAGCATCAACCCAAATATTTTATTGGAAAATAAAACACAAACAAAAAACCAGCACAGTAGAAGAATATTTTCAAGAACGCTATAATATCAATTTACGGTAAATAGAAGAGATTCTAAAAGATAATAATGATCGCACATGTATTTTTTTTCTTCTAGTTATCCTCGTTTGCCCGTATTGAAAACGACAAAGGGTACGTATTTACCCATGGAGTTGGTTGATGTTGAACCAGCTTGTATACGAAAAATAAATGATGATCAACGTGCAACGGTTACACAACTGACATCAAAGAAACCCTTCGAGCGTAGGCGACAAATAGAACACGTACGAAATAAACAACAAAATTTTGATGAAGATCCGTTTGTTAAACAATGGGGTTTAAATATTGATCCTCGAATGTTAATTATACTGGCACGTGTGTTATCAATGCCAACAATACATTATAATAAAACCTATGAAGTTACAGAACGAAATAATCGTGGAAAACAAGGCTTATGGGATGCTCAAGGTATAACGATAAAATGTGACTAAAAAGTTGAATGCAGTGGTTTTAAAAAACCTTTTTGTATGTTATTATGGGCGCCAAAATACAGTGCAGGTTCCCATTTTTTTCAAAACTTTTGATAAAAGAAAACTGGAGACTTGCGGTTTTCAGTAATCGAAAGTAGATACTTCAGACTAGTTTTCCACAAGCAAAAATGTCTTTTTAAAAAGTCTGAAATCGGTTTTTTAAGCAGATCTTTGAAAAACAGTTTGGATCTCTGGGAACTGACACAGATATAGATCGATCTGTCGTCATAGGTAGATAGTCCAAAGTGTGTTCTCCAAAACAGAAAGGAGACGAACTCTTAGTTTTTTGTGGTTTAGGCGTGGCATTGGATTGCCTGAGAGTCCCAGGAGCACTATTTCTTTAGATGTGGTAATTTCGATAACGAATGCAAACATAGGTTACCGACTATGCTAAACCTCGTGACAACATTTGTTTTTCAAAACAGTTCCAAAAACCTAGTGAAAACCTATATTAGGTGAAATGATCCATTTTTGCCTATTTTCGAGTGAAATTAGTTTTTGAAAAGGTTTTCTAGAAATCTTCCGAAGTTCAAAATGCTTTTGACTAGTCACAAGTAAAATGGCATATAGAGCAGGTAAAATAGAGAACATGTCGATATTCTAACATAATTTGGATGGATCTTGAGTGGGTTATGAATTTTTTAATTTCACTCGAAAATAGGCAAAAATGGATCATTTCACCTAATATAGGTTTTCACTAGGTTTTTGGAACTATTGTTAGGAAGTGGGTAACCTAATCTCATATCAATAGTTGTCATCTTTCAATATACATATTCTTATCGTCACTCGATGGTTATTTTCCCTTTCTGTTCTTCTGATATATGTATTCACTCTTCTGCTTTTTATGATATGTATT